TCATGAAAAAATTCCGGCACAATTTTTTGATAATCGGAAATTTTCCGTTTGGTCAAAATTTTAACACATTCTTACATTCTAAATTCCGTTTAATAAAAAGATCACCGGAAAAATATCAGGACACGTCATGCCACAATTTTGTGCACTGTACATATAAAGATAATTTCGTACTGGATTGTATAGAATATGAAGTAATATGAAGTAAAGATCAATACAGTACCGTAAATACCAAATCGCTAACCACCAATCGTGAGGGGGGGGTTGCCGACTAAATTTTTGAAAGAGGCAAAAAAATACCACATCAATCAATATCAAAAAGTAACTTTAGCCAATCAAGATACACTTTTTATCCATGATACTCAAGAATTAAAAACTTTTTCTAATTCTGCCAGCCATCGACGAGGTTTACAAAAAAAAATCCTAGAATCTTAAAAATTCTTCTTTTCCAAAAACTCTTTCACTTCTTTGCAAGTTGGGCAGTTACGATAATTCGACCTTCTGATCTAATTCTGTAATTATATTTTGACACATCTATGCAATGTAAACAGTCGACCTTCTTTATATCGAACGTTTTTATAAAGAGCTCATTCTATTATAACCCTTTTTTAACAAATTTATTATAGAGTCGGTATTGGATCATAGTAAATTATTTTTTACAATAAATTTTTAAAAATTTTTACTATAAGAGCTGTCAGTTCATTATAAAAAGTTAACTGTATATAATTTTTTTCTTTTTATTCATTTGTTATTTATATAGTTTTCAACAAAAAATAAAGGTGGTCTCGTAGATAGAAATACAAGAAAACATAATTACAACTTATTCACTATAATGAAGTCCTCAGGTTAGGAAAAATCCACGCTATAACTTATATCAAGGAAATACTAAACATATTTTACTAGATACGATTGAAAGTTAATAAGTTTGCAATTCAAAACTCTTCATTATATCAAAGTTTATTGTAAATTATAATATTTTATAGCCTCGTTCGAATTATTTATCTGTGCTAATTTATCCAATTATAGTCAAAGCTTATGATAATGAATTTCTTTATAATGAACCCTGGACATAACGAACATTAAATTTTTAAAATTATATTATTTGAGTTTGGAAAGTGTAAATTTTTTTGGTATATCTGACGATTTGACAATATAGTTCAAGTTTTACAATTCATTTTATTGAAAAAATTTTTAAATAAAATTTTCAGAAAAATGGTATGACGTTTAAATTTGCTATTTTCATTTTTACACATTAAAAAAACGAATGTTATTGAAATTAATTACCCTTATAAAAAAATACTGAACCCGTTAAAAAAAAACCAGTAAGTTATATAGTATATTATTTTTTTGTAAATGAATATACAGTATACTAACGAATGAATTTAGAAGCAAAAACAAGCATTCTAATTAAGGGTAGGGTGTACAAATTTCCAATTTCATATAAAATAGATTGTAGATCAACTTTGTGTAACGAATTTTATATG